TGCTGAGACAGCTGGTGTCTGAGCACTGCTCAGTAGGACTGTCCATGCCTCACGCATGGCTTGCGAGCCACATTTTCGTGTGTGGGTCAAGACCTGGACAGAAATGCCTGGTGCGTTGCCTCCAAGGCTTAAGAGGATAGTGCGAGCGGTGCAGGGGATCAGGCTACCCGCAGAGGAGGCCAACCTCCAGCATATGGAACAAATATCCGCAGCACCGCTGAGCTAGCCAAAGGTAGAGCGATGGGCACTGATCAAAGAAAAAAATAATTGGCTCGGGGAAAGCATGTACGTTGAAACATACGAGCGCATCTTTACACGTGACAGAGCAGCTCGCTATAATGATAAGCAGATGCTCTCTGCCACGTGTAAAGATGCCACACGAGTAATAGTCGAATAAAGGAGGGCACATAGATGGTCTAGAGGAATTGTTCCACACAAGCGATTCTCAGAAGCCAACTCGGAGTGTCGATCCCGTGCCCATCCAATAATGGAAGGAATGCTCCCGTTTTTCGGACCTCTGTGCCTCCTTACAGATATCCAGGACCTCACTCTCCTCCGGCTACTCCTTCCCCGGATAATGTTGCAGCAATCTTGCGAGGAAGATCAATGAAATTTAGGTGATTTTTAAAACCATTTTATGAAATCGACATAAATGGTATGGCGGCATCCCAGCCGTCGGGATAAGTCTATGAACTAGCCTATGGAGTTGAGTCGATAATCAACAGCAAGGGGGGTCACCCAGCGTATGCTGAACGTCTCTGGCATTTCGCCCCCCTGAACACGTCGTACAGTGGGCGAATCCCAAAGACCAAGGTGCCAGGGTTAAAGACATTGCCGAACATCGTTGGTGGTAATAACTTGGATGGAGTTCCTGCACACTCTTCAAACATTCCTGAGCTGTGGTAAGCTGCCTATGGAATTCTGTAGCTGCGCGCATACGGAGGTGGCGTGCAACAATCGGGTCCAACAGCTGTTCAGACAACGTTGGATCGGGATGCAGCATTGTCCTGAATTGTCCTGAAACCAACGAGTTCCGGACAATAAGGAAATTGAGCAAACTTAATGCAGTTCGGTGAGTCGGAGTGGAAAGTGATACACACACGTGAAGCACGAGCGTTTCATTTGGCTGCCTGTATCCAGGTAGTTCGCGATGTTCATGCTGCGGTCGAGTTTGAGCCTCCTTGTGAATTTGCGCTAGACTGTACTGCTCAGGCACTACAGTGGTACTGGAGCTCCCGGGTTTTAAAAAGTAATGCTGCTCTGCAGCAAAGTAGTGGAGCTTGTGGGCGTGAGTAGAAATTAAGTGGGAGTCTCCTGCAACTGAGCTCGGGGATTGCATAGAGACTCGACAGGTGACGTCTTTGCATAGAGACTCGACAGGTGTGCCTGCGTCAAGACGTAACTGCTGTGATAGTCTGACTGATGGTAAGCCCACTCTGAGATCCATCGAAGAACTCGTCCAAATCCATTGGGGATCGAAATATTCTGCAAACGCTCTAACTTCAGAGTGTGCAAATTGAAACAAAACACGTTACGCGGTCTATCTCAAGTTGAAACATGTACCCCCCCCTGCGCGCAGGCTGGCTATTGACGGCAAAGCAAGTGCTTAGGAATTCCTTACAGTGCGAGTGCATGCATCACAGATGATCTGGATAGACTCAAATGTGGGGTCAGCTTCTAGCACGAGCTGCGTAAAGGGGTGTTGCAGCCCATGCCAGGCCTCCGCACCAACCTCGAGCCCTTGGGCAACTGCGCTATTGCTGCCTGCTGACCGGAGGTGATATAAGGCTCTTTTATAAACCTTATCTTAAGTCTTTGACCGTACTGCAGCTCTGTGCGCGTCCCCAGCTAAGATCAAGCTCCCCCCAACAGCTACTTCTACAAACTCCACAAGCAAGCAATGGATTGATTCAACTTGGGCCCTCGCGAATTCCAAAGAAATCCCTCCGCATTCACCACAAAAGAGTAGTCTACGAGGCCAGACTCTCTGGCTGCTGTGGCAACGCCCTTGGCGGTGCCCTGGAGAGAGTGAGCACTGGCGGCGAAGCCAGAGGAGATAAATGTTCTCCTGTAGGTGAAAAGTGCATTTAAATGTGTAGAGGACAAATTTTCACTCTTTCTTCTTTATTCCTTCCAATTCCCTTCAGGTTGTTATCCCCGCCCACCTCGTGCAGCCGGGCTCCCTTGCGCAGGTGACCGGGAGCAGAGGAGGACCAATGTATTGTTTCTTTACGCCAGACGAATAGGAAACGCTTAGAGACAGAATGATATAGTATACTGAATGGAACTGGGGTGGATACCGTCTCGGATTAACAAACTGCTGGGCAATCGTCCGGCTTTTCTCCCCGGGGCCTCCAGGACCCGTACCGGGAGCGGAAGCGGAAGTACTCGTGCATATCGAGGGGGGAACTCAGGCCAGAACGTTAAGGGCTCTCAGAATGAGCCTGACACCTTACTCGTACACGCAGACAAACACGGCAGGACTGTTTTTCGCTGACAGCTTGCCCTGTAGGGCTGGGGGCTCATCTCCCCAGCTGCAAACGACGCGGCACTGACTAGACCGGGATGCCAGCATGCCTGGTAGCCGTGCTGGGGTGGCGATGCAGGCACTGCCATTAGGTGGCCGTGTTGCCGCAGCTTGTCTTAACTATGCTTTTCTGGTAATGTTTGCGCGCCGTGCTCCGGGAGGTACGGCTGCCGCGGAGCTTGGAGTTTGCCTGTTGCAATTGCCACTACTGCAACAACTGGTCTCATTCATTGCTCGAGAGGGGACAGCCAGAACAGCAGCGCGCTGCATGTCGTTACCTGCACTAAACGAGCAGCAGCGAGCCGAGCGTCATCGGCAGCAGCAAAGCTCATTCAACATGTCATATCTTTCTCTTTTGGCTTGCTGCCTCGTTTCATTGCTGTCGATGCCTGTGTGGCTGTACCTATTCCTACCGGGACACTTGGTCTCCTTTACAGAACAATCAGGTGCAAAACAGGCCTACTGTCTTGCCGCTGCGACGTTTGCGGCAGCCGGCTTGGTGGATGCAGCGGCTGAAGTTCTTTCCCTGCGCTGCTTAGTTTTTCGCTCACCGGACGCACGCAGCATAGCCGAAGCACTCTCAACAGCAACACGCACTGTGCTTTTGGCAGCGGCGCTGCTCATGCAACAGAGGGTACGACCTGCTGGAGTAACAGTAAGCTTGCTCATGAATCCCATGGTGGCATTTGGGGGAAGCCATTTGTGTGCGTCGCTCGTACTGCTGCAAGTGCTGTGGCTGCAATGTCACCGCCTTGCTATACTCAAGGCCTCCGCACCTCCTTCACCACATGCAGCAGAAGCAACAGCAGCAACTCCTCTAGTGGAGACTCCCCGTCTGCTTGTAGCGTGGCCAGCCTTCCGGCGCCTTAGCGCATGTTATGTCTTACCCACAGGGGTTATCTGCGGAACACCTGCAACGGCAAGAGGAGGATCACCTACTCTCGGAACACCAACAGCATACGCAGGAGCAAAAGCGGAGTCAAAGGATCAAGCAGTTGCTGCTCTTCTCTGGGCGCTGGGAAGCTATCTCTCAGCGGAACACTTGGAGCTCCTCCCTACCTATCTGATGCTGCTGGTGCAGAAGATGCTGCTGCAGCATGGGGAGCAGCTGCTATTGCTGTTCCTTCTGGATAAAAAGGCAGCGGCAGAGTATGCTGTGACGTCTGGGGCAGCTTCAGTCCTCTGTCGTGTCGTCTTTTCGCACTGCGAAGCAGCGGCGTTTGAGGGTTTCTGTGTCTTGCAAAAGCAGCCTGCTGCTGTTGCTGCGACGGATGCTGCACCCGCTGGGGCTGCATTCGACACAGGACGACTTCCAGGAATGAGAGGTTGTGCAGCTGCAAGGGCAAATGAATGCAATTCTGTGCGGGCGGGAAAGTGGGCTGAGCAACACCTGCGGCTACGCCGGAATGCCCTTTGCCCTAAGCCAAGCAAGAAAAATCACCGGCTGTGCTGTGAGCCTCAACAGCAAGAAGGGCTACCAACCCACCACTGCAGCAGCAGAATTTATGATACGGAGAAGGGCGGGGGGGGGCATGGCTGCAGCAGTAGCGTGACGAGCATTTTGGGCTCTCGGTGGATGGCGAGGCTGCTGCGGCGGTTAGATCATTCTAAACTTTCCGCAGACCAAAAACGAAGCTCGTCGCATTCGCCAGCGCTGGCGCTGCTGCAGCTGCTGCTGTTGTTACAGGGGACATTAGGGTTGGCTGCTGCAGCAGGCGGTTGTCTGTTCGCGGCTCCGGCGTTGCGGTGCGTCTTTGGTCCATCAACAGTGGCTCCAGGGAGTGGCTTTATTCAGACTCTGCAAGTGTACGTCCTGTGCAGCATATGGCATGGCGACAGCGAAATGAGAACGCTAGTAATTATGCTTCAATCGCACAGTTGCTTGCAAGCTTCAGGCGGTTTTTGTATCTGATGTGTATGTGTGTAGCTACTGCTGCTACGTCTGCTGCCTATCCTTTTTCGGACTCCTGGATGCCTACGCTACAGCTAGTTGCAGCAGCGGCAGCTTAGGGCTGCTAAAGCGACGCTACTTGGCTGTCACTGCTGTGCACTTGGCATTGCTGCTGCCTCTGTCAATCCGCGTGTCTGCCGTAAGTTCTTGTTCTTCAGAAATTAGCTGCCGTCGCATATGGGGGGCAGAAGCTGCTTCAAAAGCAAGCATCCTTGCGCAAAGCCAGCATCGATAGGATACTCGTTACCACTGTGTGTCTCATGCTTTGTTCTTTCAGGTCTTTGGGATACCGGCGGGGGCAGGAGCTGCCGCAGCCCAGGTGGTAGCGGCGGTACTTCGCATCGGCTGCTGCTGTCTTGCCATTTTAAAAGATTTGGGGGAGACGCCTGACCAGTGCCCTGTACAGAAGCTGAATGCACTGGGGTGTTCCGCGTCGTCGCAGCAGTTGGTTCCACAGGATTTCAGTGACTGCAGCAACAAGAAGCGAAGTGAAGGCAGCAAGATCACCACCGCTTTCAATGCCTCGAGAGGCCTGTCGCGCCAGGCTGGTCCGATATTGTCTTATGCGAAAACGGCACGACGTTGGAACAGGGAGGCGCTGGCCGCAATTTGGACCTTATTGCCTCCCGGTGCAGCATCGCTGGCGTTAAGGTATTCATGCTGTATTGTAGCTGCCACCGCTGCGCGGAGCATCCTGCGGCAGGCGAGCTTCGAGTTTGGGGAGGGGACAGCTGCAGCAGCAGGGTACGATTTGCAGCAAGTGATGCTTGGAGGCCACGCGGTCTCACTCTGGGCTGCTGAAATCTCATTAGCTGTTGTTGTTTGCGCTGCGTCCGTTGCTGCTGTCGGACCCTTGTTATTGCAGCAAGTGAGAGAGGCTTACTGCTCGGTGGCAGCTGCTCAGGAAACTGGCTGCCGACAGGCTGGTTGACGGACTAAGTACCTTATGTTGTTTTCCACACCTGCTTGGCAGTGCAGCAACAGCCCAGTATATGCAGAGCTACGGAGCCGAGAGGTCCGTGAGAGTCACAATTTTTCGGTTATTCCCAGATTTTCAAGAGGCTGAATTTCATAGCTGCCTCAGCTTCCCCTCGAAGGAGCGCCCCTTATAAAGATACCAGCTCAAGAGGTCGTCCGAGTTTTCAAGGCTTTGCCTAATGGCTGAATAGAGCAAGTCTGGACATAGTGGGCATAAGTGCTGGGGTAGGCAACATGGGCTGTTTTTTTTCCTTTCATTTCGAAGCTAAATGACCTACAGCTGCCAGTGCGCAACGTTAGTAACCTCAGGTAGGTGCCCGCCGGTTGGCGATTACCAAAGCTCCTCGCCAAACATGTTTGTCTTCTGCAGAAAAGAGAAGAGATTTCTCTAAGTGGGAGATGGCTGATCTTTCGCAGCCAAGTTTCATGCGTACTCCAGCAGTAAACCTATCGCAGCCGCACACAATTTTTTCTTTTGGAGTCGGCACTTTATCTGCGTTCCTAACTGGAGTTACTGTAGTTGCTTGACACTTTAACTTTGAGCTAAACAGCGACCTTCCCCGCTTGTTTCACGGTAGCGGAACAGGCGGCATTTAGTGCAGTTCTGCATGACTTTGTACAGTAGGCCTATCAGCCATTCCACTCCTAGGAAAATTGAGCGTCGGTACGCTAAAACGCAGGCAGTCGGAGGCCTTTTTCTCCCCGTGCTAGAGACCGGTAACCCATTCCACGAGTTTTTATTGAAGCTGACTCAAATATCGCTTCTGTGCACTGCACTAGCACAGCAAAACTGAAACGTGCAGCAGAGACGCCCATGACAGCAAGCAAAAAAACGTTGATGCCTAGTGTTGTACCTTTAAAGCAAGACTAATCCCTAAGGTACACCGCCCTCCCTCTGGTTCCGTTCCGTCTTGTGTCTCTCAAGTTCACCTGCGAATTGATCTATTTCTAGTGCTGCAAATGACTGCATAGGTGCCGCCCTCTATCCATGCGGAGATTCTGCAGCCCAACGGCAACTACCCTTCGTAATCCCACCAATTCTCTCGCAATCCCCAGGAACAAGGAGTGTCGCGTTCGGCCATAATGGGCTGTCAGACAAAAATAGCCGGAACATTATACCTAGATGGTAGCAGCAACACTACCGGTTGCGGAGAGATAGCCACCTACCCGAGTCACGAAGCACCGCGCTTCTTCCGCCGGCGGCGGCCATCACGCCCCCCGCTGGCGGCCAAAGCAGCTGGCAGATGCTGCTCCTGCGGCTGTAAAAGCTGTGTCTGCTGAAGCTCGGCAGAAGGACTGATTTCAGAAACAGGTGCCATAACAGCGGCTCCAATGGCTTCGATAGATACTACCTCGCTCGTGAATTCACTGCGTCTGGCGAAGTCGGGTGCACTCGACTCGGCATGAGCGACTGGTAAGGCACCTGCAGAGATCACAGCAAGTGTACCAGGAATCTGCCGCAAAGAAGACCCTGCAGCTTTAGTGCCAATGCGTGGGTATCTCCTGCCACGAGGAATTCCTCGCTGCTGCGTTAATTCCATCGCATTGACTGGGTCACTGGCCGAAAACGCATCTGGAGAAACCCTGCTTGTGCTGCTTTCGCAACTATCGCCAGTTACGCTGGTTTCGCCGCTCCCGCAACTCCTAGCAACCGATAGCTGAACCTCACCCTCTGCTCCTGTCCCAAACTGGTCAGGCGTCTCGCCACCAGTCACGCTCCTGCCCGCCGCGGGGATGCTCATCGGCATGCTGCCCCTGAAGTTGCGTCCCTGTGAAGCCCCTGATAAGGGAGCTACGTAACAGGAGCCCCCATAGACACTGCTATTGCTGCTGCTGCTGCTGCTAGGGTTGATTGACGCCCTTACCTCCGCTTCAGCGCTATGTCGGGGCCTTACAGCGCGAGTTAGATCCATCTGGCGCTGAGTCAACTGCAAGAAAGGGGAAGCATGCGGCATTGCGTTGCTTCGCGCGAGCTGCGACGCCCACAGTGACTTCAAATATGAATTTGCCACCATATGTAGACTACCGCTCGTGCTGCAGACGCTGCTGCTTCTGCTGCTGCTACTTTGCGAAGGGGCTGCCGAGGAGGTTGTAGCTGGGGCAGGTTCTGCCCCTGTCGATATGTAGGCATTTTGCGTGTGTGACGAGATTCCAGTACCGATTATTGAAGGAGACAGCAAAAGCGTGTCTCCGTCCGTTACAGCTGCTGCAGCAGGAGAAGCCATCGGAGTTGTGGCACCCCCTTGGCGTCGCTGCCGTAAAGTGTGGCGCTGAAGCTTGAGACTCCTCATAGCTTTCGTATCAAGTGCTGGCAGCAGCGCCGCAGCGGCAACCTGCAACTGTTGCTCCTGCTGAGTGTGCTGCTCTTGAGGCCCGCCGTAACCTTCGCGCTGCTGGAGCATGATCCCTCGGCGCTGCGGAAGCACAGCATCGCCACCCTGCCCTGATGGTTGCGAAGCACCAGCATTGTCAACACTGGGGTTGATACTGCGGCTACTGCTGCCCTCGTAGTTTGCAGTCGCCACGTGGGGTCGGCGTCCTGTGTTTCGAGATAGCCCGAGGAATACTCTAGGGGCTAGAGAAGTAGACAGCCGCCGCAGGAGAGATGGCCCTGGTGCATCTGCTGCTTCTCGCTGGGCTTGGCTCCTCAACGAAGATGCAGATGGCTCTGGAGCCTCCATTAAAGTCTCATTTTGGGGGGCAGCTGCAGTCCGCACAATCCCTGCAGACAGTTCCGCCTTCACGGGAACGTCTAGCTGAACTTCCTTTCGTTGCCGCTGCTGGACGTCAGTTTCGTACGTCTCATACTCTGTGCGACGCAAAAAAACTCGGGAGGAGCTGCCACTCTGATGGTTTGCCGTCAGCAGCAGAAGCAGCTGCTGTTCCCTCTTGCACTGTTGCAGCTGATGTACCAGTGCCTGATGCTGCTGTTGCAGCAGCTCAAAGGAGCGGCGCAACAAAGCGCACTCGCCAGCAGCTGCAGCAGCAACTCGCTGTCCACGACGGAGTCGCCAGAAGAATGCGCCACTAACGGCGAAAAAGCAAACCAGGAGCAGCAAGAGCGGAGTCGCAACAGATGAATCTACACCTTGATGTGTTTCTCGTTCTTGAAGCATCAGAAGCCTTTCGGTCCAGGGACTGCTGCCGTTGCCGGTGGACCAGTCATGAGAGAGTGGAAGAGGCCCCTGGTTCACAGCAGCGAACAGCCGAGTCCACACCGTCGCCACGAATGCTGCAATGACAGAAAGGCCCCGGCACGCGATGTCGGCTCCGACTGTTGCACCATATGCAACTGTTCCTGCAACCGACGTAATCCCAAAATAGAGGCTAGCTGCTGCTGCGCAGCTCTGCTGAACCACTGCAGACTCAGCGTCACTGCAAAAGAACTCCTGCAGCAACCTTGGTGCTACTCTAACAGCAAAGACAACGTAGCTTCCCCAGTGCACCAAAGGCAATAATAGCCACCGCCACACCCACTCCAGTGACTGCAGCAGCTCCCGTTTTAATGCATCCCATGGCCAACCCCAGCTGCGCTGTCTTGCAGTGTGGCGACAGTGATGCGGTTGCCTCTGTTCCTCTTTGCGCTTCCCAAAGTTGTTGAGACCGCTGTTACTATCAATTCTCCTGCAGTGAGGGTCGACCTGTTGCTCTGCGGCTGCAGGGACAGTGCCGCTAAGCGCTTCCCCTTCTTGTGCCGCTGCTGCCGACGATGTTGCTGCGGCCTCGGAATCGTCGAGCAGCTGCACCAAGGGGTTCAAGTGGGGGATGAGACCGTCAAACGCAGCTAAACGTTCAAACTGCACGAACAACAAAGTGGCAAAGGCACAAACAGTCAAGCAAAAGCATACTTTGGAACATCATATGCTAACAACTCCCCTAAAACGATAAACCCACCAGGAAGGACCCCAGTTGCTGCTGCAGCTGGACAAGAAGCGAAAGGTGCAACAGGTGTTGCTGCTGTAGCTGTAGCTGTTGCTGACGTTCAGCAGCCCTGCAATAAGGCAGGCAAATCCACAACAGTTACGTCCACCCTCCAACCTTAAAAGTGCTTTGGCGTAGCACGGGTAACAGGAGCAGCAAATATTGGACACAGCCGTAAACCATGCATATTGTGTGAATGAAGTTCCCTCGGGCGGGCAAGTAGCGCCATCCGCATAAACCGGCAATACAGCACCACAGAAAAAAACTGCAGTCGGAGCAGAAGAATTCGCAGAGGTTGCAACTGTGCTCACGCGGCCTTAAATGCTGCAGTTTCCCCCTCCAGAGACTTCATTCTCTCTAACAGCATTACCAATACGTGCTCGCCCTTCGAATCTCGCGGGCCCAACGGCGGTGCCGCCGCCATTCCTCCTCTCACCGCCTCCCCACTGACTGCCCCGCTGTTTGCTGCAGCAAATCATGTGAACAGATATCATAACAAACGGCAGCAGAATTAGTTCTACTAGCACAGGGGGCCAAAATAACTGCAGCAGCAGAGCAGACGGAGCAGCAGCTGTTTCTCTTCAATGTGCACCAACGATGCTACAAAAGCTCGCCACCTGCTCTCTTTGTCCCTATATGCCACAATAGTCATCAACCCTTAATAGTATGTTCCTTCCCTGTAACCGTCCACGTGCATTCCGCCTTTCGCAACGTACAGCTCATGTCCATCGAGGGCGGCTGCAGTAGCAGCGACAACACTCGGAGTATCTCCGTCTGCTGGTCTTGCTCGCCTGGCGTCGTAGTCATGAGGAAGCGCAGGAAGGCTGCGCCAATCGGACTCTGCTGCAGCTGCGGCTGCTGGTGTTGCAGCGCGTCCAAGAGGAAGGCTCTTGCGTAGGCAGCTGCCTGTCGCAGCGCCTCTGTTGCCGCGTCAGCTACTTGCAACTGCTTGCTGCTCTTGCTAGGACTCGCGTTTGCAGCGACGAGATGAACCTGATGAGCCGCGCTGGGTTTATTCGCCGGGGGAGCAGTCGTTGAAGCCCCAGTCGTCGGTGTTCCTTCCGCCAGAGGGATGCAGATGTAGCGGCTAGTTGATGGCTGAATGAGCGGATGGTAGCCCTTCCAAACGCTCCTGGCGTTGTTTCCGTTGCTAGCAATGCATAGAGTGGGGTCTACTAAGCCGCTTCTGAAACTAAGCAGCTCCCTGAGGCCAGGAATGGACAAAGAAGGGTAGCTCATATCTGCCCAGGCCGGGTCGCCTACTAGGATTTCATGTTGAAGGTCAACCTGTTCCTGTTGTTGCCTTTGGCGTTTCTGCTTAAGAAGCTGCTGCTGTTGCAAGGCTTTCTCAAGTGCACCAGACAGTGCATTCAACGCAGCGGCGCTTTCTTTCTCCGCTTCCTCAACTTGCGGTAGACTATGCAATTGCTGCTGCTGCTGTTGCGCTACCCGTTGCGGGGCAATTTCTGTCTCAGCGCTTGCTGAAACAGCAGCAAGGGAAGCACCGTCTATGAGAGCATCAAACGGTGAGCCTCCGTGTATCCCAGCTGAGAGGCCTCTCCGCTGGCGTTCTCCAGGTATCGAAGGCGCCTCCCGTTGTGTGTCAATTACTCCAGAATTTTCCGTGCTGTTATGGAGGCCGTCCGCCTCCGAAGAAGCAGTGGCATCCTTAGAGACGGGAATACGCTTATCCAAACGCTCCACAGAGGCAGCACTAGCGGCGCTGCCCTGCATCTCTTCGAGATGCTGCGGCAGTTCACCAACTCCCCTGCGTTCTCTCGCCCGTTCCTGCTCGCCTAGGGAGCCGATAGAAACACAAGGCACGCTTTGTGCTGCTTCCAGTTGCTGTGTAGTCCCTTCATGAGAGCCGGACTGGTCTGAACTGACTAGGGGCAGAGAAGCCTCCACAGCAGTTTCTCGAAAATCCTTTGTAGCGACGATTGAAGAATCACCAGCAGCTTCATTAACAGCAGATGTACCAACAGCAAGAGGGCCGCTCGAAGAAACGAACCCTTCAGAGACCTCCCCGTCGGTCCCATGAGCGGCTTCGCCAAACTCATCGTGGATTTGCGTCTCAAGGAACTGAACGCCTGTCGCTCCGAAGACCTGCAGCAAGCATCAGCAACTGACTCAGTGCTTCCGAAACCGCAATCACTGGTGCTTCCGCCGCTGGACGCGTCGGGGTTTGGTAAAACCGCGGCTAGCTCGCGCCAGAGAAATGGCGCCGCAGATTCTAGAACCAAAGAGGCGCTGGCATATGAAAATGGTAGAGCTTTCAGGCGAGGCGAAAGTGAGAAATGAAATTGCCGACTCATGAAGGCAAGCATATCCTACCTGGAAGGAGGTAAGGGAGCAGTAGTAATGAGGACCCTCGTCATGGTGGGTCAGAAGCCGAACCTTAAGAAACCTGCGCAGAGAAGCAAGCCTAACTGCAGCTTCATCGCACAATAACCTCCGCCTAAACATCAACAGAAGCCGCAGCAGCAACAGTGGTAACAGCTTGTGGAAGGCACACTAGACCGTACTTTACCCAGCAGCTGCTCAGGGCAGCACATTCGGATTTGAGATCGAAGAGCTCCGAAGAGACATCCGCTGCAGTCTGAAGGTTTGCTATGAGGCGCCACTGCCGTGTTGGATACGTGTCAGCCCTGGACAGCACAAAGGCAGTGGAATAAGGCGCTAATTCTCTGCCAAAGGAAATTAGTCGTCCACTTGCCCGCGCTGAGGCAGAAGACGACATGTGCAGTACACAGCGCATATGGGGTTGTGCAACTCCTCCATAAAGGACTCTGCACAACGTGGATAAGTACGCACGCAAAAGCGGCCCCCCCGTCGGGTGGAGAAAGAGCAACAAACCCCCAGTAGCAACAAAACGCAGCAAGCAAGTGACAGCTCCCAAAATGTTGCGTAGGTAACGGTGACGTTAGTACCCGAGTAGCTGAATATGCCAAAAGGCATTGGCGTAGATCTCGAAAGACTGCATCACTACGAAGTCTATTTTTAGTGTCTCCGAAAAAGAAAGGACGAAGTACTTGGATGGGACGTAGCAGGGTACAAGCATGTACGTATCTGCGTCTGGCCGCTGCAGATAGCACGCAACAGTCAACTGTACGCTCAGCATCAACCTTCCCGGCGAAGGCTTGAAGACATTTCCATCCTCTTTCCCATATACATGCAAACACTCTCAAGGCTGCTCTGATGTCCACCTCTATTACACCCTCTGAAGCAGCTTTATACACGAAATACGAAAGCGCATGCGTCTTGAGATACACAAAGAGCCAAAAAAATGTCTGCAGGCTTTCATACTTGCGAGTCACGAATTTACTGTCAGCAATGGTTTGCTGTGGAAAGCATGTAGACATGTGCACGCCTAGAATGAGGCTCATATTCCCTCGATGCGGCCTCACTTGCACCGCCTTAATGTGCTGCATCCCAGGACTCGAGGCAATGACCCGCGCTCCCGCGTCGAGCGATGCAAAATTGAAGTGCAGACGCAAGAAAGATGCGGGCAGCTGTTTGCCCTGCACGAAACCTCTCCCATACAGTTGAGGGGCCCCGAGGATCCCCCCAACAACAGACTTCGCTAGAGGGTCCTGCGAATTCGCATGGAATTTCCCGGCGGCAGCAGCAGCGGGCGCCGCCGATTTAGCGGCGTTGCCATCCTCCTCTTGTAGGTTCTGCTGCTGTTTCACCAGTTCCTTTTGCCGTTGTTGCTCTTGATCCAAGCGACTGTGGCGCTGCGGAACTGCTACCGTCTGTGCATCCTCCTTACGCTCTTGTAGTTGCTGGGAACCCCGATCCTCTTGCAGTGTCTGGCCCTCCTGAATTCGCCCATCTATGTTATCATGCTGCTGCGTGTCCTGCTGCTGTTTCACGTGCTGCCGGGACAGCTGTTCGTCCTGTTGCTGCTCCTTTGAATGTAGCTCACTGCGCACGCCCTTTTGCGTTCCCAGTCCGTCTATTGCTCCCTCCTGCTGCTCGGACTCGTCCACCGCCCCTGCAAACTCAAGAGCAACCAAACTGCCACCGTCAAAAGGCACTGCGCAGCTGTTCCCACTTCGTAGCCCCTCCGCATGAGGAGCGCAGCTGCCGTAGTGCAGTTCCTGGTGCGCCGCATAACGCTTTGGCTCTTCACGCTGGAGCAGCTTCCCCGGCTGTTCCGTGTCCACCTGCTGCCCCACAGCTTGCTGTACCTGATGCGGTTGCTGCTGTCGCTGAGGTTGCTGGCACTGCGCAGTCGTGTTGGCGAGGAGGCGCACTGCGAGATCGTGTGGAAGTAGCAGCAGCAAAAGCTGCAATGCAAGTGACGTAGGCGCTGGAGGTCTGTAACACAGTGCAGCCGCTGCCACTGCTACTCCTTCAGCTGCCGCAGCTGCTTCGCGCTCTAAGGGCTGGCGTTGCCGCATGCACGACCGCCGCCACGTCCACGACACAAGCTGTCCTCCCCATTTTGATGAGAGTTCGTGCTGCTGCTCCCCGTGCTGATTAATTGAATGGTGTTCTTGCCGCTGTTGCTGCTTATTCTTCATCTGTTGTTGATGATGCACGCCTTCCGGTTTTCCACTTTTGGCCTGCTCTCCGCCCCGCTCCCCATCGGACTGCGAGGACAGTTTCAAGGACTGCCGCCCTTCGTCTTGCCGCAGATGCAGTTTGTGTTGCTCTTGTCTTGCCCCATCGGTTGCAAGTGGACTTGGTAAGGAGTCTGTAGTAGCCGCAGGTTCAGCAGCTGCACCTTTTAGAGATGTTGTTTCTGCAGTGTCCTCACATCCAGTGTGTGGAGTGGTTTCGTCTCCCGATGCAGCAACATTCTCTCCGCCCCTTTCCTTGTTCGCTGGATGTGCTTTACCGAGTGCTGCTCCTGTTCCTAGTACAACAGCTGGGTCACGCTTTGCCGTGGCGGCTCTAAACATATGGTACTCCAGTTCCTGGTGCAGAGCACTCCTAAGCTGCGGAGGGTAGCTACCCTCCGTGCAGCAAAGTAGCAGCAGCCGCTGCTGGAGCACGGTGATTACTCGTACCTCTTCCTGCTGCTGCTGATGCTGCTGCCCTCGTTGCCGTCGGTGCGAAGGCTGATCGCGCAGCAGGACAGGCATGCGTGATGCGACGCAGTGGCATCTGGCTGCCTCCGCTGCATCCGACGCCGCCTCCCCCCGTAAGGCTGCCGGACCTAATTGGCCTCTGTGGGTTGCTGCTGCAGTGCATGAGCCTAAAGAATAGCACCACTGCATAATCCAGACTGCAGACGAGCCGCCGGTGTAACCAGCACTCGGTACCACTTCATCTTCAAGCTGCTGCCACTGTCCCGCCTTCAGCGGATGCTGCATCCCCACTGCTGCTGGCATAACAGGAGAACGTGCCCCACTTGTGGAGGCTGACGAGACTTCCAAAAGTCTCGCAGAAGTTGCGTCAGCTAAAGATGCTGCAGCTGCAGCTGCCACATCAGGTCTGGTATTTCCAACATCGTGTGTCGCGCGGTGATGCTTGATGGCATCTGCAGGTGGAGAGCTTCTTGAAGCAGAAGTTAGCAAAGGTAGCTGTACCAGTGACTCGCGCTGCTGTCTCTCTTCCTGTTGCCGGTGCGTTGGTGACTGCAATCCAGGGCCAGACGACGGAGCAGACCTCTTCCTTGTAGCAGCGGCAGCACCAGCTGCAGCAGCAGCCGCAAGCTGCCTAAATGCAATAAACACGCCCGATGTTTTGCCGCTCAAATAAGCACGCTGGCTCTGTTGCTGTTGCTGCTGCTGCTGTTTTTGCAGTCGTTGCTGCTGCAGGTGCAGTTGCTGTTGTAACGAGGTTCTCGGAAAGAGGTCGGAAGTGGCGAAAGCCGTATCTTCTGGTGCTCCTGTGGTACTGCCCAGCTGTTGATGTCGCTTCCTACCTTCTGAGGGGGATGAATCAGCAGGTAGTCCTGATGCTTCCTGTCGTCGCTGCACCTTGATGTCCTCCGGCCGTGGCGACGAGCCCGCGCCCCAAGTCACTATTGCTGTATTCAACACTGAGGAGCCTTTCTCTGGACCTGACGCCCCTTCTAATACTCTTCCTGGGTCAAAAGCATTTAGAGGACTGGCAGCGCAAGCATGCTGCTGCTCATGGTATTGCTGCGTTTGCTTTTGCTGCGGCTGTGCCTCCTGTTGCAACCGCTGCTGCTGCAACAGCCGTTGCACTCGTGACCCTGCAGTGGAATTCCCCGCAGGAGGTTGAGCTTCAGAAACAGTGTATGTGGGAACACCAGACACACAAGCTAGCAGCAACAGCAACACCACAAAGTGTGAAACGCATGGCGTGTTTTCGGGAGAGCTGCGGCAGCTGCTGCAGCTGTGCTTGGCCGCTGCTACACTGCAGGCCATTTAGCTGCACCATCAGCGCTCGACGATGCCGAGGCTGTAGTGAAGGGCTGCTGCAGATCGACGTGTTCGAACTCCTTCAGAAACTGGCACAGTGACTCGGCGGCGATCCTGACTTCTTGTGCTTGGGTTGCTGCTGTTGTTGCTCACGCACAGTCAGCAACACCTCTCAAAAGCAGTTGGTGAGTCTGAAATCGATAAGTTGCTCCACGAACGCCACAGATATCCCCTGCCTGCCGCATGCAGATGCAGTTACATCAGCAGCGGCTGCAGCCAACGAATATGTATATCTGCCGCTGCCGAGACGCAAACACGCCATGCGCAACAAGCAAACAGGTAAGGATATCATAAAATGACTCGGATGGAATGCTATACATTGCTGTTCTTGCTGTCGCTGCCGTGCCACGGGCCTCCAGGACTTCCGTGAACAAGAGACCATTGCCTATTGTCGGTACCGTTACCGCTGCAAACGAGCTCATCGCAAGCAGGGACTGTCTCGCGCTTGCCATTCCTATAGATGTGGACACATATTCATATAAATATGAACGCGGAAAGTACTCTGTGTGACCAGGGAACGAAGCGCTCGTCCTACCGAGCCAACCCGCTGCAGCAACGCCAGCAGCAGTGTGTGGGATATGCACTAGTTGACAACCGAGATATACTAACAACGCTTAGAGGACCTTAAAGAAGGGGCAGCATCTGGGTTCGCAACCGGCAGGAGCCTACAGGGACTGGTGACGAGAGCAGCTTGAGCATCCCCCGACGCAGCAACGGCCAATCCCCGCACGTGGGCACACAGGCTATCAAGAGGTCACAGCGGAGGAGGAATTGACAGGTAATGGATGCTGTTTGCTCCTTGGATCGACGGTAACTCAGCTCACGCAGGCAGCAGCACCAGGGAGCTCCAAGGCACACTCGGCAGTCTCTGCAACGGCAGCCCCTTGAATTCAACCTTGCCTTCAGGTGCGGCCACTGCTGCTCTCTTGCAAGAGTAAGGCAGCCCTCGGCATCGCTGAAGCAGCTCAAGGGACTGAACGAGGGGAACAGCGGAACGACACACTACCGCCGTGCCCAGCAGTAGAAGGGCCAAGATATATTCCGGCCATCGCCAGAGAGGTGGCAACCAAAGAAGAGGCACCTGCAATGAAATCAGAAGCAGGTAACAGAAGAGCTATTTGCAGGCAAACTGTACATAGATGTGCGCAGCCCAAGCAACGCGGAGGCTCTGAGAGGACATTGAGGCGTAACACCGCACACCCAAGTCGCCGAAGTTTGCTCTGCTGCTCAGTGAGTTGCTGTCTTTTGTCTCTCGTACAGGCGTTTGTAGGTTGGTGGACTGGGAGAGCATATTATTGGCATTGCAGTAAGGGAGGTCGTAGCGTATTTAGAGCTTGTGGCGGTTGTTTGATCAGGCAGGGAGACCTGCAGCTGCCGCAGTAGGGGCCACGCCATCGCCAGCAAACGCAGAAGCCTCTGACGCAGCAGCTCCAAAGAGGTTTTTCATTCGTCTGCGAAGCAGCAGCAACAACAACTACAATGCCGCTGCAGGCAGCAGCGGCGACACGCGCAACACCAGCAGCACCGGCGATTGTAAGAAGTTTGCAGGTGGCGCTGAGCCCGCAAGTCTCCAGCATGCGGCGAAAGGGCTTCGTACGCGTAGAGGATGCGCATCAGCAGCGGCGAAGCAGCCGCAGGCAGACCAGTTGGGTGACCCTGTGATAGCTGCTGCTGCTATTGCAGAAGAGCAACGGCTTCTGGCTGCTGGCATTGCTGCAGAAGCTACACGGGGCCCTCCGCGCAAGCTGGTGTCCCGTCGCGTCCCCCATGGGAATCATAAAGGCTGGGATCCTTCCCTCTCCTACGAAGTACAACGCATCTCGGCAGAACGCGATTGTTGGTTCTACGGCTGGTGTTCGTTGGGTCGTTGTGTCACTCTCCTGCCCCCGGCGCAACTGCTACCCATTTTTGCAAGTGAGCGTTTGAGTCTGCCGTCCTTATTTGCGCTGTACGTGTGCTGCAGGAAAAGATCCGGCAGTTAATTGACGGGGGTTTCGTGCGGAGATCTCTCCTGCAGAAGGCGCCGCCTTCGACGGCTTCCATCTGCGGCCAATTCGGCATGCCTAACCACTTAGTAAGACCCGTCACTACCTGCTGCTAGCAGATATCTTCTGGGGCCTTCCATTAGATGGGGGCAACGGCAGACACCTCTTCGATAAACACCAGCAGCGCATGACATTTCTTGTCCGTGTGTACCTGCAATTGTTTTTGCATTGCCCAGAGTCCTTCCCTGCTTTTGGAGTGGCTTGCCGCAGGCCATGCTAGGAGACAGAGACCGCGTCCAATTCTACAAGGAGGCCATATGCTGGCAGGGCCCCGCGCAGCCACGGCAACACCAGCTGCTGCCGTTCCACCAGGCGACGCCGCGCGACCAACCGGGGCCGTTGCCGCACCATAGAACAGCGCAGGATCAACAGCAGCAGCCTAGCGAGATGATGAGCCGGAGTCAGGTGAATGGGCTCCGTGTGTTGGAAATCGGCTGCGGACCTCTTGCGCTGTTGTCCCTTCTCGCGGTTCAACAAGGGGCGGCTCACGTTGACGCCTTGGAGGTGAGCTGAGGCAGCTCCCCCGCAAGGGCTGCACCTGCTGCACTTGCTGGCTGCTGCTGTTGAGCACTTCCCTTGCAGCACGGGTTGACCCCTCAAAGGCTCAGCAGTTCTACCTTTTGGTTTTTTTGTTGCCTTTTCTGCGTTTTAATCATTTTGGCGTGTGGCTCCTCCTGCGGTGGCGTTCTCGTTTCCTCTTGTGCAGCTAAATGCTGGCGTGTACCAATTTGCGAGCGCCTTTGTCCAGCAAATAGGCGTGAACGCCCTGCAGCCGCAAATGCATGACCTAGAGGAACCGCAGAGGCCGAAGCTCCGTGTTTTTAGGTGTTACTCGAAACTTTTCCCTCTGATGCCGTGGGGCGCCACTGCTGGTTCTGCTCTCAAGGCACCCTCTGCCTCTATGCCGCTCCCATTGGTTGCTGATGCAAGAGCAGCTTCCCCAGCCGCTGCTGCTCCTGGTTCTTTGGTTGTCCTGCGAGGTTCCAAGACTGAGGAAGCAGCAGCCGGAACCACTGCGACTGCTGCTTCACGTGCTGAGGTTGTCGTCGCGGGTGACTTTGCTGATGCAGGCAAGCCCATAACTCCTCATGCTAGTAGCGGCACGACGGTCTGTGCTTCCATTTCCGCCTCCTCTTGGGCTCCTGCAACCGCATCCGCGCCACCCTCTCCTGCAGTGGTTGCTGGTAAACATTGCAGTTTTGAGTCCCCTTTTGCGGCTGCCGCGGCAGGAGCAACGGCAGCTGATACTTGTGAGGCTGCTGGAGCTCAGCCATCCGCGGCAAGTTGGAGCCAGCTGCTGGGCACCCTTGAGGGGCCTCCAGTAGCTTGGGGCCCCTCACGGGCCCCGGTATCATCCCATAGCCTCACTTGGCGACAATCACAGAGAGCCGCGAAGCGTCTGCGAGCATCCTTCAGAAGAGGCCGGAGTAGATGCAGAAGAAATTTCAGCAGCTGCTGGCATAGCAAAGCTACGGGCATTTGCAGCTGTGCCGCAGATCCGCCAACTGACCATCAGGGGCAGCAGGAGCAGTACAAGGGTGAGCTGTATGACATGGTGCTCCATGAAATTCTAGGAGACTTTGCCTCGCAGGAGGGGGCAGCCGACGTAATTAGGGACATCCAGGAGAGGACGGGCATGATTCCCCGAAGCATTCCATTTGCTGCCAGGACGTTTGTTGGCGTATCTGAACTGCCTTCTCCCTGCTGCATCAAATGCCCCGTGCGTCAATTTAGCGCGAAAGCAATGAGTCTCCACCCCATTAGCATGGCATATAGAGCCTATAAGCTCCACGCATGTTGGGCTCCAGTTGCGACAGCTTCCCGGGTCGTTGCTGCTGCGGACATTACTGCTGAGCCTCTTCCGATTGTTGGCTAGCTATGGAAAACTCTGCTTGCAAAGTCCCCGGAGGCAAAAGCGCCCCACTTGCTGTAAACTTCTGCTCTTTCCCCATGCGATTTGATCTAGGCCAGCGAGCATCCAGAGCGCACCGTTCTTTCCCCCCGGGAACGCCTGCTGCAGTCGGTGCGTCTCTGCCTCGTTCAGCTGCTTCGTGTTGCTCTGGTCTCCAATTGATTGGCAGCATGGCACATTGGTGCAAAACTGTGGGCTTGCTGATGTTTTGGTTGCTGGTGCTGCGGGTGCAGGTGGGACTACGTTTTAGTGAATGCCTCTTGAGTACCCGGTTAATGGCTTTCGAAGAGTTGGAATTTGAAGGCAAAATGCACACACAAATGTTGCAGGTAGTCTTATCAAATCGCATGGTTCCAGTTTAAGCTGAACAACACAATCAGCACTAGCAGTTGCATCGGGGGGAGCGCGCTTACACGGCTCCAAGAGAGTGTGATTATGTTGTTTTCAGCGACGGGCACTGCTCTTTGAGGTGGAGAAAGACGGTCTTTTTGCTGGCCTGCTGGTTGCCATTGAAATTGAAATTCGCCCAGTCTGTTCTTAGGCTCAGACTTTCTAGCTAGTTCTGCTAACTCCACTACAGCTTATACTCTTACTTCCTTTCGGTGGAGCCTTTGGGACCGGTTAGACTCGGTTCCGACATATGCATTATCATGCTCCTTTCTTCTGCCATCTTCGCCTGTTCTCCACACAGCTTGGCAGCGCGCTGTCACGTGTTGGAGGCACGCCTGCGGCT